CTGGACGCGATGGCCTTGGGACGGGCGGCAGACAGAGGGAGCGCGAGCCTTCTTTTGTCACTGCTTGTCGAAGAGGTCGCATCCTCTTGCACTGCACACATTTGCGTAAATTCCACGCCTCACGACCATGGCGCCCTTCGTTGCCCTCCCTTCCTCTCCCCACATCCCCTCTTCCCCCCGTCCCTCCCCTTATGTCAGGCCCTTCGTGTTGTGGACCCGACGGACGCCCTCCTGGAGTGCGTGGCCGGGCCCCTCCGCTCCTATCTGCAAGGCCGCCCGGACACGGTGCGTTGTATCGTCAGCAGCCTCACGGATGAGGAGCAAGGGGGCGTGCTCTACGAGGAGCTCAGAAGACATGACGCCGCGCCTTTGTGCTTGGATGAGGAGGAGGAGGAGGAAGAGGAAGAGGGCGGAGGGGGAGGGGGATGGATGCCAGCGGGGAGGGAAGGAGGGGCCACGAGGATCGGTGGCGATGGGAGAGGAGCAGACGAGGGAGGGAACGGGGGGGAGGTCCTGCGGATGCTGGTCTCCATATACGGAAGCAAGGACTTGTTTGCGGCCGAGTATCGGCTGATGCTGGCAGAGAAGCTCCTCAACAGCCTGACCCTGGACACGGACCGCGAGTTGACGATTTTGGAGCTGCTGAAGTTGAAGTTTGGAGAGGGGGGGGCGCTGCAGCCCTGCGAGATCATGCTGCGCGACCTGGAGGAGTCTAAGCGGGTGAACGGACACGTGGCTCAGTGGGTCAGGGAGCAGGCGAGAGCGCCGCGAACGAGCAGGGGGAGTGTGGGGATGGAGGAGGAGGCGGGGGGGGGAATAGGAGAGGGGGAGGGCCGGATGGGAGAGGGAGGACACGTCGTTGGCAGCGAGGGGGGGGGGGGCGACAGGGACAGGGAAGGGGCGATAGCAGATCCAGCCCGGGAAGCTGAAGCAGGAGCGAAGGATACGGTGGTAGATGCCACCATCATTTCGCATCATTTCTGGCCCCCCTTGCAGGAGGAAGAGCTGACGCTGCATCCGCGCATGGGCGCGTGCCTGGACGGGTACGGAAGAGCCTACGCCGTGCTGAAGAATCCCCGAAAGCTGGAGTGGAAGGCCCACTTGGGTCTCGTGCACATCGAGCTGGAATTTGAGGGAGCAGAAGGTGAAAAGGGGGAGGACCGGCAGGGGTTTGGGGGTGTGGAGGGACTGCAAGGGGGCGGGGTCTCGTCGGGGAGCGTGAAGACGGGCTCGGCTGTCGGTAGCAGCTCTGAGACGGAGAAGGGGGTGGGGGAGACGGGAAGGAGGGCGAGGCTTTCTTTGAAGGTCTCTCCCGTCCACGCCTCCCTCATCATGCACTTCGAGGACCGGGACGAGTGGACGCTTCAGGAGCTGGCCCATGTGACGGGGATCGACGCGGACCTGGTGGCGCGGAAGATGGCTTTCTGGGTCAATCAAGGCGTTGTTGCCTCCGCCCTCTCCTCCTCCGCGACCTCGTCCTCTCAAGCCCAGGCGGGCGCATCAGTATCGGCGCTCTTGCCGTCCTTGTCGGGCAGGCCCACGGGGGGGCTCTTGTACCGCTTGCTTCACAGGCGGGACCAGGAGTGTGGCGGTACCCTCGGGAGGCGGGAGGGGACGATGGGGATGGAGGAGGATGACTTGGAAGCGGCGGTGTCCTCACACGCACAGGAGGCACAGGAAATGGACTTATACATGTCGTATGTCGTTGGCATGCTTGGGACGTACGGCGGGAGGTCCGTGCGCGCTATTCATGACACTCTTCGGATATGGGTAGGAGGCGAGCGGCCAATGACGGCCCTGAAGCTTCCCGAGGTTGAGAAGATTTTGAATAGATTGGTGGAGGAGCGAAAAGTAGAGATGGTGGGTGGTGTATATCAGCTTGTATCGCGACCGGCGCATCATCGTCAATAAAATACTTACGACAGAAAGATTAAGAGGTCCTTCCCTTTTCATCATCCGTACCTGCTGATGCATTTTTGCCTTCCTCTTTAACCTGTGGGTCGCCCTCTTTTTGAGTCACCATAATAATTAGGTGTGGTAAGACATTTTCTGTTGTTATTTTTCATGCCATCCCTATCATGTGCTCCACTTGCCTCCACGTCCCATGGGAAGAGGTATGTTCCTGATTCTCCACCTCCTTGTGACCTCGTGCTCTCACGCCTTATTCATCCTGGTCTTCGTTTACTGTCTCATATGCCGCAGTCTAAGAAAAAAATCTTGCAAACTTATAAAGCACACATGACAACCTGCTAATTGTGCATTGTTCTATTCTTTCTGCCGCCACAAAGGTCTCCATACCGGGCACACACAGTTTTGGTTATGGAGTGATGGGTTTTCCTCTCTCGATGACAGCGTTTCCACTTAGTGCTACCTTTGGTGCCGAATCCTCCATTTCCAGCTCTTCCCTGTCCGCCTATCGAGAGAATGAAGAGCCTTCCTTCTCTCGTCTGCATATGCACTTTGTGCGTGGCGCACCGCTGGCGAAATAGCTTCCAGAAGGAGAAGACTTCAGGAGACAAGAAATAGTAGCTTGATGAAGTGAGTTTTACATCTGTAAGTTCGCTTGGGGAGGGAAGAAAATGGAAACCCGACATGATGGAGACATGGCAAGGACGACAGACATGGCGGACGACTGATTGCAGAAAGCTTGAAAGCACCCCTAATAAAAAAGACGAAAAAGCCAGCTCCACAAAAAATATGCACCTTTGTAAATGCAACGTACACACATACACACACACCCTCCCACACACCCTCCCACGGGAACACCGGAGAGTCGGAAAAAAGGTCGGAGGGTACAGGCCCACTCCTAACCGCACATACGTACCCCCCCGGGCGGGAACTCGCAGGGCGGGAAATGCCCATTACGAAATTAGCCCCTTGTCCGGAGTGCTACAGAGCTCGAGCCCCGCCACGCGCCGCAACCTTTTGGGAGAGAGCTACAAGCACCAGCGCATACCTGCATTATTATCTGACATTTGATAGCGACGATTTCTCTCTTAGGTCAGGCGTGGTAGATTTTTGCTCTTTAACCACCCTGTGCTCCCGTATAGTGGAAGGGGCAAATCTTCTCTCCTGATTCCGGCCGGCAGCTATGGCATCGACTACCCCGATTAAATTCTACGGCATCAGCCTAGAACTATCCCCTCTCCCGGGAGTAGAGTTCACGGAGGACGGGCATTTGTGTTTGTCGCTCAAAGACTACACTGGTACAATCGTACTGCGATGCCCGACGGCGGACGCAAAAGCCGAGGCGGCAACTCCAGCTCCGTCAACTAAGCAATCGACCTCAACGAGTTGCACTAAAAGTCAGAGCTGCAAAGGGGTGTCCGCTTCTCGTCCACCCGCTGCTTCTAAATCTACAAGTGTCCCAAAGAAAACAGAAAGGCAGCCGGCAGCACGAAGCGAAACACAGCGAGCAGCTTTGACGGCGTCGGAGGTTACCAGCCAGGATCACGACAAAAGTGCTGAAAAGGATACGTGGGCAGATGAGATGGATGCCCTCTTGGGCTCCAGTGATCAGCAACTGAGAGAAGCGCCGATTCAGTCCCCACCTTCTGCCCCGCCAAAATCGTCGAGGAGCGTGGGCCGAAAAAGGGGCCACGCGAAAGGGAAAGCCGAGAAGGAGAACCGCCCCGATAACAGCGACGAAAACGAAGCCCTAGATGATCACCATGGTCCCATTGGGCTCGCTTCTCGTAAGCCTCCGACAGCTTCCTCGTCGTCCTCCCGCCACAAGAAAGCGCGGCCTGCTGATGCGACTTCCCTGGCGGCTCCCGCCCCTCCCTCCATGCCGTCCTCTGCGCCGCGTGCATTGACCTCTCCTTCCTCGGGTAGCGTGCCCCAGGGCCGATGGGGACACACGGCCACCAGGATAGGCCCCAACAGGATGGTTGTCTACGGAGGGGAAGGCGACGATGCTTACGGCGGCGGCTGTACGTTCGGGGACCTGCATGTCTGTACCTTGACAGCGGCAAAGGAGGAGGGGGGGAGAGATGACGCGAGGGCCATCCAGGTTCGGTGGGAGAAACCCATCAATTGCGACTCGGTACCGCGGGCCTGGCACTCGTGCACGTTTCTGGAGGACAAGAACCTGATGGTGGCCTTTGGGGGGGAGCGGGCGGGGAGCGCGGGCGGCAAAGAGGGCGTGGCAGAGGTCTTGGACGACATCATGGTCCTGGACACGGAGCTCTTCCTTTGGTACCCACCCGCGATCACAGGGAAACCTCCCTCCGCGCGCTCTGGCCACACGGCCTCCCTGGTGGGGGGGGGGAAGGAGATCGTCGTCTTCGGGGGCTCCCGGGGCCGAGGATGGCAGAACAATGTCTGCGTCCTGGACGTGGAGCGGTGGCACTGGCGGGCGCCCGTTATTGCGGGAGATCCCCCCCCTGGCAGGTCCTACCATACCGCGGTGGTAGTCCAGGCCGGGGGGGAAGGAGGGAGGGCGGGGAAGAGGAACGGGAAGAAGGGGGCCGGTGCGACATGCTTGCTTCCCTCTTCAGCATCGTTGCCTGTGGAGGAGGAAGGTATCACGGGGGACGTGGGGGAAGAGAATAAGCAGACCATGATCGTGTACTTTGGAGGGAACGACGGATCGACCTGCTTCGACAAAGTGCACGTCCTGAAGGTGGGAGGGAGGGGAGGAGGGAGGGAGCGAGGATGGGAATGGTTCCACCCAATGGTGGTTGGGTGTGACCGACCGGCGAAGCGGACGGGCCATGCGGCTTGCCTCCTCCAGGACGGCAAAAGCATCTGGGTGCAGGGAGGCTGGGACCCCCAGGACGAGACGAGCGAGGAGACCACCCTCTTCGAGGACGCCTTCATCCTCGACACGGAGACCTGGGAGTGGCGTGCAGCGGGCGCGGAGGTAGGGGCCGGGGAGCAGCAGGAGGTAGGCCCTGGCGTAGTGGTCGGACACACGGCGGTAGTGGCTCGGGCGGGCCGAGAAGGGGGGGAGGGAGGGCTTGGCGGGGAGGAGAACGGCGACGGGCGAGTGCTGGTGTTTGGAGGACAGGACCGGAAGGGGGAGAGGCGGGACGACCTGTTCGTGCTGTCCATGTGAAGGAAACGCCGACAAAGGAGCGAGGACGCGAGCTGGGTGATGCGGTATGTAAGGCACGCATGGGGCGAGGAGAGGATAGGTCTGCTAACGCGGGAAGACAGGACTTCGGCATTCTATAAATATTGCCCGAGATATAAGAGTCAAAATCAGGAATTAGAGAGGTTTGATAGATCGGAAGCAAGGCAAGGAGGCTGAAGGCTATATCGGAACGCGAGCAGAAGGGAGAGGAGGACAGTTTTATTTCCCACTGCCTTTCCGTTCCCTCCTGGAATCCACCGACCCAATGTCTTCTTTTAGGCCCTTTATACCCTTCATTCACAATGCAACTCCTGCCTTATCCTCCCCTGCGCTAATTAAACAACTCGGGCGTCTGCTCTTCCACGAAACCCAACGTCTCTTGCACCTTGCCCCCCCATCCCTCCAGTCTTACGGCCAGCTGCTTGATCTGCTCCTGGTTCAAGACCCGAGGCTGTACCCATGACACGTTCACCTCCTGAGCAACCTCGTCGATGACCCCCTTGATCAGCCCCAGGGACATAGCGCGCATCAGCAGCCACTCCACCTGCTCCGTTCCGATCCGTCCCCGGGCGGCCACTTTGGAGAAAGGGATGGTCCGCTCGTGGGACGGGGTCTCGAAGACCAGGTTTATGAGCGAAAGCAAGACCACCTTCTCCTTGATGAACTCTTCCCGGTTGACCAGGGCGGGCTGCGAGTAGTATTCCTCCCGGTGCCTCTCCACCAGGGCCGCGAACCGGTCTACGTCGCCCGCGTCGAAGACGTGCAGCAGCTCCGAGAGCCACGCGTGCGGGCCCTGAGCCAGAACGGAGAGGATGGGCGTGGACAGGACTTCCCCGAAATTGAAGACCCCGTCCCCGGTCAAGGCGGCTAGGGAGATGTCGACGGCCAGGGTGGACTGCTCCTCTGCCGTAAGGCTCTCCACGGGGGTGTAGGCTAGGTACATGAGTGCGTTCTTGTAGAAGGCTTCGGGAGGGCCCACCATTTTGTGGTATTCCGAGGCAGCTCTGTAGTAGGCAGAATACACCATCGCATCTGCTCCGGTCAGTCCCTCCAACACCAGCTTGGCAGCTTTCAGGTTGGGTTCCACCTCCCTCACATCCCCTTGGCGCAGCTTTAGCGAGACAATCTCCATATCTATGAACAGGGAAGCTTCCGAACCGTAGCGTTCTCGTTTCTCCTCAAACTGCTGGAGAAAAGCGCGAGCGGCGTCCACATCAGGAAGAAGGGCTTTCGACAGAGTGGCTGCCACTTCGGCCAGACGGAGGGGGTTCAATTTAGCTTCAAATTTGACGATAAAATTTTGGTAAAGCGCGCGCAAGTCAACTTGCTGGACATAATTCGGGTCTTTGAGAAAAGACAGGAGGGCAATTGTGAGCTGGTGCCAGAGTTTGCGGGCGTGCAGGTCCCCCAAATTGCTCAGAGGCTCGTGCAGGGCCGGCTTAGCGGCGATGGTGGTCTGAATGTACTCGGTCATCTGTCACCGGCTCCCACGCGCTAAAATAAGCCCAGGTTCGAGATCTATGCCTGCCTACGGGTAAATCAGGAGGATATGGGAGAGCGGGAGTAGTCAGTAAGCATAGAAGGCCCCCTGCATGGTGCTGAGGGAGGAAGCCTGAATGAAGAAGAGAGGCGAAGTCGCTTGTCTCTTTTCCGGCAAGTTTGAGCGAGGGTCGATACATCGGACAACACCAAGCTCCCAGTTGCGGCTTTGCCTGAAAGCATGCTAAGAATACCCAACTGAGCCTAGACGGCGTCTGGTGCTTGGATTTTTGCTGATCGAACTCAAAGGCTATCGCGAGACGATACGGGAACAAAGGATTAACAGAGCTCGGGCTGAGGCAAGGAATTAATGCTTCTGGTAATTCGCCTGATGCGCCCGAGACGCAAACTGCGATCATGCCATTCGAAGGACAGACAGACCCCCCACTACTTTTTTGTGATTTTGACAGTCGCAAGCACGAACATCACCACATGACTGGGACACTGGAAGACGCTATGTGTGGCCATCACCCACAGGTCGGGGGTACTCGCACGGGCTCGCGACCTCCCCCCCTTTTCTTGCCTCAACCTTTTGCAACCATGAAAACACATTATACCGCATATATTTAGCACAGACGTCATGCAAAAAAGTTAGAGCCTTTGCACGATTTACCCCCCATTCTGTTGCCGCCCGCCATGAACGCCTCTCCCTTTTTACCTCCCGTCCCACCGGCCTTTCCTCTCCTTCCTATCACCTCCGACGCCACGCTTCGGAAATGCAAGTCATTTCCCTGCAAATCTTGCGACATCTTCATCGCGTCATATCCCAAAAGCGGGACGACGTGGACACAAAATATTGTATACCAGCTTCTGGCCGCTGCTGCCGACGTTGCGAAGAAAGATCGACTCAACAAGAGGAGGACGGAGCACGGGGAAAATGAAGGAAAGGCCTATGTGGGGGTGCGCAGCAATGGAGGAAGCCGATCCTGCGGGGAGTCAGCCTTAGAAGTGGTTGACACGCAGAAGGATGTAGAGAGAGTAGATCTGTCTATCGAGCACATCAGTGACGTAGCTCCTTTTTACGAGGCGGATAGGACCTGGGATGGAGAGGGACTGGCTGCCAGATATGAGGCCATGCACGCACGCCTGGGGCGGCGCATCTTCAACACACACTTACTGTGGGGCATGCTGCCCTGCACTGGAGACGAGGAAAGGGGGGAGGGGGCAGAGGGAATAGAGAGGGAAGAGGACTCGCCCTGCTACCTGTACGTCGTCCGTGACGGGCGGGACGCTTGCGTGTCCTTTTTCCACCACATGAAGAGCATGGCGAAGGAGGATGGCGGCTTTGAAGGAGACTTCTCAATCTTCTTCCAGGAATGGTTGGAGGGGCGACTGGCCTACGGGCGGTGGACGGACCACGTGGCGGCCTGGATGGGGAGGGAGCGGGAGAGGGGGCGGGGGAGGAACGTCCGTGTCTTGGTGGTGCGGTACGAGGACTTGAAGGCGGACCTGACGGGGGAGCTGAAGCGTATCGCCCGGCACTGCGGCATCGACGTGGGCGGCGGGATAGGGGAAAAGGGGGAGGAGGTGTGGGAGGCAGTGCGGGAGAAATGTTCCTTCGAGTACATGGCAACAAACCGAAGAGTTTACGAACCACGCAGCGTGACCTGGAGGGACCGGAGCTTTCGGTTCATGCGCAAGGGGGCGGTGGGCGATTATCGACAGCTTTTTACGGAGGACCAATGCGTGTGCTTCGCCGAGGCGGTGAGGGAGGCGCAGAGAAAGTCAGGGCAGGCAGAGGCGTGTCTGATGCGAGAATTGCTCGGGGGGGAGGAGTGGGAGAGGGGAAGAAAGGAGGGGGAAGAGAGGGCTTGACGGCCAAGTTGCGCGGGTGGCGCCTGGTACGTCGCAAGTCTGCGTAGAACACAATACATCCTGAAACAAGATTGAGAGAAAGAACAGAACTGCCCGCGGAAGTATTCCTTGCCCGAGCTTAAGATTTCGCCCGAGCCAGAGATGCCTGGCCCTCGTCGCCCTGAGGCCAGAGGACATACACCAGAACCAAGCCGTCCGCTGACACCACCTCTCCTCCCTTGCCCAATTCGGCGTCGCCTAAGCGCCGCTGCATGATGTGCCACAGACCTCCCTTTCCTCCCTTCGCACCCCTTGCCGAAGCTTTGTATTCCACCTCCCTCTCTCCGAGAACCACATTACTCCACTCGAGGATGAGTCCTGGCTCTGCCAGGTGATTCAGGCCTAAGAGGTGAGAGGTAACTAAAGTATCCAGGCATTCCGCATTTGACACATGGGCAGCTTCAGGACTAAACAAGTGACAGAACAACCGATTCTTCATCAGGCCTGTCGAAGTCGAGGGGGGAGGAGCGAGGGAGCTGGAAGAAGAGGATGCGTGCCTTGCCCGGCTTGTGACGACGAGAACAGGAACCGGTAAATCGTAGAAGGCACGGCTGAAAAAGGAGTCACTAGGGCTAGGTGGAGGAGTCGAAAGAGGTGGTAGGGCCTGTCGGCACCGCCTCCCTTTTTTACCTGTATGCACCTCGTCCACGATCAGAAAAGTTCCCAGCATGAAGGCATCCTGCAAATTTCGCTTTCGGGTGTGGTTGACATGGTTGCCTGAAGGGACTTGCCAGGGTTCATAGAAATCAAGAACGGCGTCGGGGTCCTGAGACGATAATGCCATAACACGACGGTCGTCCAAGAAATACTGCCTGGCATCGACGGAATTGAAATGGTTGAGGGCGTTTTGCCCAATCATGTCCAAACGATTGAATCCACTGGCATGGTCCATGAGGGCGTTGAAATAGACGTAACAAAAGCCAGTTTGATCGTCCATTCGCGTGCGGGGGTCGGCATCTTTTGCAAAGACCATAGTGGGGAAATGCTCGAGAATGGCGAAGCATAAAGCTTCCTTTTGCTGCTGGTCATGAAGTTCTATGCCCGTTCCCTGCTCTTCAATGGGCTGATGCTGGATTGATGACGGCATATCACATGCGTTCGTGATCGATGAAGCTGCAAGAGAGACATGTTTGGTCGCAGGCTCCATGGACTAGGCACAGGAGAGGTGGGGGAGGTTAACGTCGATTCCCACCGGAAGAAGGGCCCGAAATCCCGTGTTCTATCCTTATATAAGTATCAGACCCTGCATAAGGTCTACCATGAAATATCATGAGGATCCGTCACAGGTCTTGAGTGTTCGTATTGATCAGCGAGATGTAACAAACCATCTTTGTCTTCCCCCCAGAGGCTGCCTGTGTTCTCCGACCGAGCCAAGGAATCGATCCGTGCGATCTCTCCTGCCATGGTCACATTCCATCAGACTTTCAAAGCAATACCTAAGTCACCGTAACAATATATGCGGCAGCATTAACAGATTATTCCCTTTAAAGAATCAGATCAAGGCTCCCGCAAGTACATATGTCTAGCTGCTTGATTGTCGTTCGACAGTTCGCCGATCCGTACAATGAGCAATGTATTTACAAAAACTATGGACAAACAACACACTAGATGCCAAAATTTAGGATACATATTACAACCATCGAGGTAGCAGCCTTTCCTGATGCCTTTCTTGCTTTTTCTCCTGTCGTATGTCCTGTACTTTGCGTTTGTACTGCATGGTTGCTGCCCCCCCGCAATCGATAACTTCGGTGAAGGGGCCGATACGAATCGCCCCCAAATTTTGACTCCAAATCCATGCATTGACTGTCCCTTTTGTGCGAGAAAGCGGAAAGGAAGCCAGGTTGATCGATCGTCTAGACCTTCCAAACAGTGCGTGTAACAACGACAAACTTTCACGCTTTTCAGGGCCCCGACTTCCCTCCACCACCCGCGCCCATCCTCCGATCTCCTTCGGATTCTTTACAATTCCCCCTTCTTACCGTACGACGCTAAAGTGACGTAGTTTTTCTCCGCGCACTGTGCTTTTATTAGAGGCGCAAGCTCGGAGAACGCAGCGGTGATGGTGATATTCACAGCCGAAGAGCGGGAAGACAGGGCCCGAACGGGGAAAGAGGCATTGTGCCAGCCATACCCAAGCGGTGTCGCACTTTCTTGATCTTCCACCTGAATGTGCAGGTTGTTCCATTGCCTGACAAGGGGTAAGGAAGAGAGCTTAAGACACAAACAATTTAACGTTTATTGTCCCCGAAAATCCGTTCAAGATTCAGACAAAGCTGAGAGACTACATAAAGGCGAAATGCTGAGATCAAGCTGCATAAAACGTACACGGTGTAGTAGTTGGGATTGTAGTAGGAAAATAGCTGCGACAACGTGACGCTTGAGGTGCTCTCATCCAGAGAAAGGGTGGAGCTTTGGTAGCGCACGATTGGACGTCGGGGTACAAGGAAAAAGAGCAAAAGGCCGAGGAGAAGAAGTAGGATAAATGCCCTGCTCAAGCTGAAACAACGGCGCTTGGGTCGGAGAACACGAGTCGCGGGTGAGGAAGAAGCAGCTGCCGTTGTGGCAGTGGAGGTGGAAGTGGTGCTTTTGGTCCCATCTGCCGGCACAGCCACATAGTAGTGGGAAGACGAAGGATTTGAGGAGGACATCGCCTGTACATCGCGCCGTATGAGGGTTTTAAACGATGAGATCCGGAGTGAAAGTTGGGCGAAGAATGAAAAGAACGCATGGCCCACAACTATGAAAGGTTCAATGTCCAACATCGGGTTGACATCAAAAACTAAACGTACAGGCAAAGCTATATAGGACACCACTTTAGCATAGATCCATGCCATGGGCACGTCGTTTTTCTGATGAAAGCTTGTCGAAAAGTCTGGTCCTCTCACGGAGCGGCAGGACGACCATCGTGGCCAGTGTTGAGGAGAGGAAGCGCTTGAAAAAGAAAGAGGGCACATTTCATGGGCGCATATTCATAGAGGGACTCAAGCGTTGGTCAATCGACGGGGTGATACCCTGTACCGCACTGTTCTCGTTAGGACGTGCCAGTCCCATGCGCCCGGCTTGAAAACAAGGGGGCACTTTGCATCACATGCATGACGCCATCACCCATCAGGCACTAAGCAACCCCCTCCGAGAACACCCTTTCATGCATTGGGCTCACGGGGATATTTTTCGTGTGAGAACATTACGTTTCCACGTTAGATACGGTGTGTCAATCAAATTCGACAGCAGCGTGTTTCCAGATGTTGTGTCACATCAAGTCTATCTCTACAAGTTTCTGACGGCAGCTCTTTCCAATGCCCTTTGAACGGATCCACGATGATCTCTCACTTACTTTCAAATCTCCATACAATTTGTATCAGCTGCACAACAGCTAAGTTACGTCGTGTTTCCACCAAACCCATGCCAAAAGCAGCGGCTGGTACCCCCAAGGCTATCGCCAATAAAGCCAAAGCCAAGGGCCTACAACGCCTGCGATGGTATTGCCAGATGTGCGAGAAGCAATGCCGGGATGAGAACGGATTTAAGTGCCATACTATGTCTGAGAGTCACTTGCGGCAAATGCGGGTGTACGCAGAAAATCCTACACAGGCAAGCTCCGGCTTTCGGGTTCTGTTATCACACTGTCTCACTGCCCCTTCTGTTCAGTCGTGCCCGTTCTTTTCGTCTCACATCCCTTCTATGAAACCGTTCAGGTGATGGAGAAATTCAGCCAGGAGTTCGAGGAGAGCTACCTGGAGGCCCTGTCGCGTCTCCATGGGACCAAGCGGGTACCAGCCAATCAAGTCTATCAGGAATTGATATGCAACAAAACGCACATCCACATGAACGCTACCAAGTGGGATTCCCTGACCACTTTCGTCAAATATCTGGGCAAGAAGGGCATCTGCCTGGTGGACGAGACGGAGAAAGGCTGGTTCGTTCAATGGATCGATCGGGAGTATATGTTGAGGAGGGAGGAGTTGGAGAAG